TTTTTTTCATCCAATTGCAATTTATATATTTTATATGAGAAGAATCTATGAATATTCAGCTTTCCGTTTACTGAGGGGGGGGGGGGATGAACAACAAGATATTTGATTGGTGAACAGCCGAAATGGCAATTTAAACGAAGTCACTAAAAAGAGATCGAAATGCAGCCTCTACGCGCGGTGGGCGGTCAGCATAGCACCAATAGAAAAGTGAAAAATGATGGTGACCTTTTTCACTAAAAAGAGGTCCAAATGCAGCCTCTACGCGCTGTGGGCGTTCAGCATAGCACCAATAGAAAAGTGAAAAATGACGGTGACCTTTTTCAAGCAATACAATTGAAACAAATACTAAAGCAATCAGAAAAGAATTGCCTTCCAAATGCAGAAGAGAATGTGACAAAAATCCGACAAGTATTTGCCAGATACGACTATGGAAAGACATAAAATGACCTAAAAACAGCTTATGTCAGCGTGAAACACTTTTGCTAGGCTATTCTCGCTCTTGAACGATAATGTTGCAAGAAGAACCATTTCGTAGTTTTTGGAGCTTTTTGATTTGTCAATATGTATGGCTGATAATTTTACTTTATTTTGTCAGGTCGAGGTGATTTCACTTTATTTGACAATAGACTGATATTATTTCCACTCACAATAGTGTAGTCGCAATATTACTAATACAAAAGTGAAAGTTAAAAAGGGGAGAAAAGCAAAAATCTCTTGATTGATTTTAAAAGTCGTGTACTTGCAAAAATACTAAATTAATAATTGTTTTAAGTTTGAATATCGTGTTGTTAATAATAATAATAATAATAATAATAATAATAATAATAATATAATAATAATAATAATAATAATAATAATAATAATAATAATAATAATAATAATAATAATAATGATAATAATAATAATAAATAATAAAGATTTGTAAAGCGCAAACATCTCCACCTAAATAGAAAAAACAAGATACATATCACAAGAAGAAAATGTAACAAGACTCATCATTTTATTACTTTACCTTCTCATTTTTTAACCACAGTTATACCAATGTCTTTCGATATTTCATTTTCTTTTCTTTCTCTTCCTTACACTTTCCTTTTTTGTCATATGTTTGCTTATCTTTTCCTATTCTTTCTTATGTTTCCTTTTCTTCTTTTTTTCCCTTCCTTATGTTTTCTTTTTTTCTTTCTATGTTTTATTTTCTGTTTTAGTCTCTCCTTTTCTTTCTTATGCTTCCTTTCCATTCCATTTCTTTCTTATGTCTGTCTTTTTTCTTATTCTTTTCCTTTTCGATTTCCATTTCTTTTCCTTTTATCTTTTTCTTTCCCCCTTTCTTTCTTATTTGTAATGAAAATCAGGGCCCCGTGACCTTTTTCAGGGACCAACGTTTCTCTATTGATTTAGCATCACTACATAAAAAATGAACGAGCGGGCGGGGGAAACCTCCAGAAAAAGGGCTGAACGTCCTTTAAAGTCGGATAAGCTTCTCTTAGCAGACCTTAGCATATGATCATGTATTTTTTTCGACAGTGTGCAATCTTGTTCTTTTAGATTAGAATGACTTTGTTCTTTTTTTTTTTTTTTTGTATTTTTTTTTTTTTATTAGAAGAAATGTAAACCCCAAATATAGTGCAAGGTGTATAAGAGACAGCTCACTCACAGTTATGAATTTTCCTATCTGTTTTCCATTTTTTCTCTCGGTTTATAAAATCCCCATTCGGTGACCATCATTAGATTTTTGCTAATTAAAGCTTGATTTCCGCTCCTTTGCATATTTCCCTGATATAGGCCCTACAACATTTTTAACACTTTAAATTTATTATTTGTCGTATTAAACAACATGATAGGCCCAAAAAATAAAAATAAAGCAACATTTTTTTCTTCTGAAATTTCCATTTTTCGTGGCAGTGAGTGTGCTAATTGGCCTAATATAAATTTGTTTTATTCGAATCATCATTTTAGACAAGGTACAAAAAAGTCTGCCATATCTACGACCATACTACATCTGAAGATCAAGAATATAGAAGTTGTTAATAGTTTAAATGATTTTTTGTTCTAGAGTGGATTTTTGATATGCCATTAATAATAGAATCAACCTTAAGATCGATCTTTGCGTGTATGCTGAAACCATGGCTGTAAATTGTTATTGTTACAGCATGCACGCAAAGATCGTACGCGGCGGATATTTACACGATCTTTTGTTACTTTTTCGCCAGTGACGTCATGGTAAAATCGTATATAATCGCCTATAACTTCATAAAAAAAATAGCCAAAAAATATTTTAAGGTTGATTCTATAATTAATGGCATATCAAAAATCCTCTCTAGAACAAAAAATCAATTTGCTAGTTCTCTTTTAAAATGTGAATGAAATGAAAAGGAAAGGCGGGAACAAGGGACATATATGAATCATTGCGTGGGTTAGAACGCACGTGGATAACGATTCAATCGAACAAAAAACAAGGGTTTAGTTGAAAATCCAAGCTGAGTATTTTCACAGACTTTCACAACACAAAAATACACGTCAAAAGTTGCGCTACGCGTATCGAAGATTGATTACCGTACGCGTCTATTATGCGCTGCCCTACATTACTGTAAATGTTGCATTTAAACAGATATACAGTTCGCCTTCCAATTCGAGATCACTTTTGGACCTGAAAATTTAGGGTGGTCTTCGGAATCCACTTTAGATATGTGTTAAATGATGTCGATTGTTATTAGGTTCTTTGAAAAAGTGGTCTCAAATTAGAAGGTCTCGGAATTAAAGGGGTCTCGATGTAAACTGTGACGTCACCTTGCGAAGGATTCAATTTAATAAAACATTCCCGCAAAATAAAAATTGATATTTATTTTACCTGTATTTGACTAGATTACTTTTCCATTTTATATTGTAGTGCGCATAGCGTTTACACCTTCCGTTTGGGCATATTGTGTAGTTACCGTCATCTGGAGACGGGTCGTGTACACCGCAGTATGTGACGGCTTGGTTCGAATCTTCTCCATCTTCATTTAACGTTGGTTTCAAAGTTACACCTGTCTATACGAAAGAAAGATTCGATTACTATTTCAATTTCGTTCACTGTTAGCAACAATTACATATAGACCTTTCTGTAGATTAATCGAACTCAAGTGATCAATCAGTACAGGGCCAGGAATACGCGTATGTCCCACAAGATTACGCTTAGCAACAATATCCAAAGGCGAGGCATTTTGCAAAAAAAAGTTCACAATACTTTATATTTAATAAATAAAAGTAAATTAAATCCCAAACGTATATAAGAACTATGTTGGATATAATATGTATGTTACATGCCTAATCCTTGCTTACTTTACACTTTACGTTATTAATAATTTATTTTCAGTGCTGTTTTGTATAATCATCATCATTGGCATCGCCATCGCCATCGACTGAAGCCTGAGGGACTTAAGAGGTCAGGGTTCTCTCCCTCTCTATCTCCTCCTATAAAAAAGTTCATCAAACATCACAAGGGAAAACAAATCCCCTGTTTAAAAACCTTTGCCCCAGAACCTAAAGTACGTATGAATTCAGTACGTGCAGTAATTCGTTAGTTTGATCACACTTTTAAATGCACAGGAATACACAGTTTAAATGTCTACGACATGTGTTTTTACAAGCAACAAACAAGTAAGCAATGTAATTGACGGAGCATCAGTGGATAATCAGGATTAGGTCGTGTGTAAGGGAGGTAAATTGAAAACATGGATATGTTTCAAAAGTACATGAATGCCCCTAACTTGAAATAAGACAAAGTAATGGCGCTATAAGATCATTGTCAATTTCCCCCTCCCCTACTAAGCACCGGGACTTGGCTTCCGTCCATAACTGATGAAGTCATGTCGCGAGTAAGTCTTAAAGCAAATGTCATATTCTACGTGCATTCTGTGGTTTTATTCATTATTTTGTTTCTATGATAAGGCCAATATCTGGCTAAAATATGAGAATCTGTGCGCGTATATAGTTTGTGTATGACACAGTTTAACACTTTGGCGACGATGATTCAAACCGGGAAGACGTTCCCGATGGTGCTGCTTAGTAACGACATGGTGTATCAAGCTGAAGTCTGTCGCAGGTTCGTGTGGGAGGGGATAAATCATTCTGGCTCTCTGCCACACTATGTGTGTGTTCTGTTATTGCAGTAGTCAAAATATCCTGCAATCAGTCCTTAATTTTTATCCACTGTATCTTCAGCGAGCATAATAAGTTCATTTTGTTTCTTTGTAGATCTAAATGTCCCATTTCTGCATTTTTAAGGTCAGACCGTAACACACTTTTAATTAAAGTTTGTGCAGTTTCGTCCTTTGCGAGCTTTGAACTTGTTATCTCCTACAACTGCAAATCCTAATGCCACACTACTCAGCCTTATTGTAGGTTTTGCAAAGAACCTAAAGGTGACATACAGTAGTCCTTTAACTTTTGAGCTCTCAGCCCCAGCAAGTTCCGTCCCTCGGCAGCTTCCAGTATTCCTAACCTCAATTGTCGACTAAAGAAGAAGAAAAAGAAGAAGAGGAAGAGGAAGAGAAAAATGAGAAGGAAGAGAAAGAGGAAGAGGAGGAGGAGATGATAATAATAATAATAATAATAATAATAATAATAATAATAATAGATAGGCCTAATTGTGTACCCTTTTAATGTTATGTTCACCGAACTTGAACGAACTTTCATATTTCTAAAGAGCGCTATCAATGGACAACAATGACATTAAGGATGAGTGAGTGCAGTATGGGGTTAGGCACTCTAACCTCTAGTCTGATAAAATGTAATAAAATTATTAGTAACTGTCTTTTTTTACAGGAAGGAAGCTATTCTGTTTACGGTCCATCTTACTTTATATCAATAAATCGCCCACTGATGGACTCATTACCCTTCAGTTTGTGACAAAACGCGACGCTAAACAGTTATTCGCATTTTCTGGGAAGGTTTAGTTGCAGTGGGGTAGGAGTCTTGTGTGGCTGATGAGGGGAGGCCGGCGAAAATAAAGAGCGAGTGGGCTCGATTATTAAGTAAGGGGTCCTAGCTCGCAAAATAAGGCGATATGAGGTGATTCTTATCTACTTGAGCGTGATTTACTTTTTCAAATGGGGAAGGGGTGGTGCGCGAGCTTGTTTAGAGAGATTTTACTACAAAATATACAATTCAGGCAGTAGGAATACCGGTATGTAAAAGTTATATAGGATTGATACTATGCTACCGTCCGTTGATTGGCGGAGAAAAAAAAATCATAATTTCTTTAATATACAAAATAATTAAAGCAAAAAATATTAAATAAATTTTTTAATCTATTCTAGAATTACCAATTGCAATATGTCTTTATCTTTAATTATACTGTACTCGCCAGCGTGGTGGCAGCGGTGCATTTGCCCTCCCATCGGACAGCCTGGACACCCTGTCGTACGACGCCACGACGGCGGGTCGTCGGATCGAAAAACTAAACAAAATATTTTGCCTATAACGTTATTTTGATTGCCAACCCCTAGTATTGTGGTTTAATAGCACTATTTGAACCATACTAAGCCATGAAACTCTCCCAGTGAACCCAATACGGATTTTTTTTTTATTCCGGGACCCAGCAACGCTCTAGTCGGTACCTTGGTTTGGACACCTCCGTCGGCAAATTTCTGGCTCACGTACACCCGCTGATGCAATTCAAATTACACGCGCACATCTCCTGTTCGATATCACATAGATTTGCAAATCTACCGGAGAAAGGTGGGGTCCAGTTCCCACGAGACCGTCCACAAGAAGTGAGCAAAAAAAAACACCGTAATGCACTTTAGAACGAATGCTATTTAATCGTTTAAATGAGACACTGTAATGCCATAAAGGCCGTACCCCCTACCTGAGCCCTGCTCCTTGACTATGCTCAGACCTTTGGGCGACCTGACGATTGACATTGAGGCCAGCAGCATTAAGGGTTCAGATCCGCTAACGGTGGCTCTGCTTATTCCTCTATTTAGTGAGGGATCCAGGGGACTTTTACAATGGAGAGACCAGAGGGTTTCAACAATTTAGGTTCCGGCTGGCTGACCAAAGTTTAAATAACATTTGAACCACACACATGTGATAATAAACCTAAATATCATGTTTCTTATCGGATACGATATCAGTTGCTCGAGTCTCGTGGGTTTAGGTAGGCTCGGGGACGTGGGTCCCTAAGTGATGTTTAGGTACTGGAACGTTGGGGTCACTAGGGAACGAGTAAGCTCAGGCAATAAATAACGAATTCGAAACGGAAGGGATTCATAAACTCAATACAAGTCACAGGACGTAACAATGACCTTATTTAATTGAATTTGACAGACTACCGTTACACTTCTGGTCAGTAGCTACACAAATAAACATGTAGGCGTTTTTTTTTCTGCCTAAGGTAAATAAATTATGAAACGAATGCGTGTGTAAGTTTATAGCCAACGTATAATGTCAATATGTCAATTGTACAGAAAACGACAAAATTACTAGATAAGAGCGATAATGCATGAATTCGAAGACGCCTTATCGAAGAATTATATCAGAGATCATACATGATAATCACATTAGTTAGCACCCATTAGTACTTAAAATAGAACTTGAAACCTAAATTAAATCATCCGAAACTTACTTTTTGAGCCAAAGAAAATATAATATCGCACAATGTGTACATTGACTTTTGACTACTACTTACACCGCTACGGTCTAATAGGCTTGGGACTATTCCTTTTAAAAAATAAATACAAGAGATATAATAATTTGGTTATAACACTTTTGAAAATAAGTCATGTCGTGTGAAAGAACTATTATCAGTCGACGCCGCGACCTCCAAATTACTATTATGATTAAATATAACGTGATGCTGTTTAAACATGGATAATTTTGTCCTCTCTGTTCTGGGTCTAAACACGTTTATACAATACATTGTTACTGCTTCAATACAGAATACAGTAACTACGGTACCGTAATTATTGTAATTGCACTACAATTATAGGCATGCTGTTGTGTGGGTGTTCGATTATACAGTTTCTTTGCTTAGCCTACGAAAATGTCGGGTGAAAATACTGTAGCATAGCTAAGTTTACAGTCTTTTGGTACCCGTCTCCCCCTTACCATTCCTACCGTCCCCTAAACTGTATGCTACATTACTTTCGAAGAAAAACGAGCACAGACATCGTAATACGTCGGTGATTAAACTTAATTCCTTGAGTTTCTATGGTTACCGTCCAGGTACCCGATAAGCCGTCAGAACTTGGCGCTGTTAATATTCCCACTCAGGAGAATATTCCCTGTCATACGCATGCGCGTATCCTAGTCGGCGAGAACTCTCCCCTAATCGGGAAACATTATATATAGATATTATTTTACTGCTATGCAATGTTCGAAAAAAAGTAAGGTATCCTTTACGACCTCTGGCCGACTCGTGGGATAAACGAAGAATACGATACCATTCGTATGGTTGAGTTCATAGACGTTCTCATGAAAACATTTCTGGTTCAACTAGCAGAGACATTTATAGATATGAACTTCATTTCAGGGGGAAAACAATTTTGTAGACAATTGTATATATCGCGCAAATCTCAGAATTTATATTGGTTTTCAGGATAGATCTACGTTTGAGGAGAAATCGTCATGAGTCAGCGTGATTTTCGTTCTCTCCGGTTAAAAATAGCTTTTTAAAAATATATACCTCTTGGTTCTAACTTAAACTAGACCTAACATTCGGAATGTGATCACGGCGAATCGACGTGTTTACGAATTCTATCATCAGAGTTTTCCAACAGCAAGGACAGATAGCGTCGGGACCTTGACAGCTAACAGGAATAGCAAACCTAGTATTCTTAATTAAATTCCATGCTGCTCTATTAAACGTGCTTTCATCATTCATAATAAATTCCATCGAGAGTGTTACTGTTTCTCATGTTTGTAGTTTTGCTTTTCGCTACGAATTTGTTTATCTAAAAGATGCATTTTCAGCGCACAGACCTACTTGATGCAATGCACAAAAAGAGCGCGCAAAAAGAGCGCGCAAAAATGCGCAAATAATAAACGTCGGATGCAGGCATACTCCGAATCAAAAACGAACATTCAGATAAAATCGTATGAAGCTATATATTCCAAAATGATCTCAAACTACGCGTGTATGTAAATGGTGGATGGCATTCTACTTAATCCAGCCATGGAGTTATAATTATTTTGTGATTCAGCCAAGTGCAAAGTCATGAAAATATTAATTAGGCCTACTTAGCTCAAAATGCCAGCAACGTCGATAAAAATTTCTTTTTCGTCTACATTAACTATGTGATACCAGATTGGAAATAGTTTTTTAGTTATAGTAAATATGTTAAACTTACATCTCATCCAATTTGGAGTATATTAAGTGGTAAATCCAGGAATTCGAAACAAAGGGGCGCCAGGGAGGGAATTTTTACATATGGTAGGTCCCACAAAATTTGGGGCCGAGGTACAACATCTTATATCGGACGGCCCTGGCGGTCGGAAAATTACGCTTTCTTTGAATATTCTAAGATTTAAAATGGAGGGGATGTATAGTGGCTGGGCTTTCATTGATTCCACCTCTGCCTTTATCATAGAATCATGATTAATATTAACCGAACTGCTACACTGTACATGATGCAATGGTAACACATTATACTGTAGTTAAATTTGGAATGTCGGATCAGTGAGGAGATCGAAATAAGATCAACATGCACGTCGTGCATACCAGTCAATTTTTTAACCCTATTTATAGAGGGTAGCCCTTCCAGCGTATCCTAGACGGTCGGCTGATATTCCGGGGCCCTCTATAAATGAAATGACTGGATAGATTAAAAAGGTATTCAAGTGCGTCAGGAGTGTGTATATGCAACGTCAGTTATTATAATAATAATAATTATTATGTCTGTTCTAATATGCTATTATAAATCCTATTATCTGTTAAAATCATTACCGGTATCATAATTGTGTGTACGTGCAACGTCAGTTATTATCATAATAATATAAATACAGTAATTATATCTGTTCTATTACACTATTACAATATTTCCTGTTAAAATCATTAACATAATTTATCTGTTTCAATAAATTTCGTTTGTCTAAATAAGGTGCTACTCTCCTTTTCAATGTTTTATATTTACTCCTTGATGTAGGCCTATATTTGTACGTAGGCCTACTTTGTTTACGAAATACATGATAGATGAAAATGTCATTTGTATCAATAGGTACTGTACATTTCAATTTTATATTATCAATGAATTAAATAATGAATGAAAAAAACCCTTCCAGATTAAGTAATAACCATAAAGGATATGTCCCCCTATATAACCCTTAGCACCTATACCGGGCCTATGTGATGAAAAAGGCAAGTAGGTCTAATAGAAACATAACAAAAACAACAAATTGACGCATGCGCATACAATTAAATAAATACAGTACACGATAAGCAATTCCCCTTCCGACTAGCAGTACAGTGTAAATTTATGACCCTACCTAATTTTTTTCCATTAGGCCTACAAGCCATTAAAAGTGAAAACACGAGATTGTTAGAAATTTTGTAGCTGACCACGTAGAACAGTTTTTCATTTTTGGTTCAGAAAGTTCATTTGTTCTTGACTATTGAATTACAGTACAGTATTTAAGATATAAATAATAAACTATATAATAATATATACTAAATATACAAATAAGCCTATTATATCTATAAATATTGTTATTACATTATTTTGTTTGAAAAGAAACGCCAGCGTTTGAGTCCGATATTACGAAATGAAACACACCTTTGTTGAACCGTTTATGCATCATCTGTCTAGCGCTGAAGGAGCCACTTAGCAGCAAATTAATAAAATTATCTGTTTCAAATTATCTATTCCAAAATAAACTGCCTGGCTGGTACGATAGCAGGCAGGAGCTAATTTCTGCGACTGTTAACTAAAATCTGCTACTGAACATTAAGAAAATTTGAACACCGCGGTATGATGCCGACGTGGCAGAAAAAAATAAAGCATGTTAAAAATACTGTCAGTTTACTCACTTGACTGTTCTCTTGAAAGTTTGGATCGAGTCCCGTTCCTAATACGAATGCACCTTTGCTAAAAGATCTAGCAGTGCAGACGCCGAACATAAGTGCTACACATAGACATTGAAGCTGGAACATAGTTTATTGCAGCACTAGTCTAATACTCTACTGCTTTTGTAAACGTTTGAATACAGTTCGTTCCCTGGAGGAGCGCAAACGATTGGGCACCTCGGCCGATTCGCTTCAACTTAAATATATCAGAAGACGGATTATTGCGTATTTTGTATAAGCATTCCTCTGGATCTGTGCTCCGACGTAATGCTCCAACCGCTTGACTGTGCAACCGCACAGCGAATGGAACCCGTCCCGTACAGAAATAGCGCATACAGTTGCGACGACTGTTCCCCAGGGTCAAAATGTCACTTAGTCTTTGATTTCCCGAATTGGGTTTGTAGTGATGATTATCAACAACAATATTGCACGTCATGCGGCAATGAACGAATGCTGTGAAGTTAAAACCTAAAACGGTCAATGCCAACCCCATTAATTTTGGGTTGCAGCTAACTTTAAACAGCAATAGGAATTCCTGACAATATTAGTGATTGGCGAATGATTTAGCAATAACACACAATACGAAAGTCAGAAGGTGATTTCTTTTTTGTGCCTTCGGTACACATCAATATAGATGCCAGGGGTGGCGCCAGGGGGCGGGGAGGACTGACCCACCCCGTTCGGAGAGAAAAACCATAATTCATCGGGGAGGAAAAAAATATATAGGCCTATGCATTTTTACATAGGCCCTATTAGAAGTAGACCCCAAAACCGATTAAATAAGCCTTTGAAACACCTAAATGTCATATTTATCGGACCACCCCCACCCCCCGCGCCACCACTGATATATGCAACCTTTTAGTTGTTAATGGTAATGAACTTTTCTGCTAAATTTGCGTAACGGCGTGTTTTGGGACATGCGCGTATACCTAGCTATTAAATAATAGGCCTATGTTCTGATTGGCCAGTTGTTAAGTTTGATTGACACGATGGGAAGGTTGGGACATTCAATGCCACCTAAAAATCTATTATTAAATTAAATTGATTATTGAATTGCTGAATTTGTATGTAGGTCTATATAATAAGCTTTCAACTTAGAACGAGAAAGAAATCCTCTCTAATTAATGGAAATTAAAATACAGGTCTCCCCACGACCCCCACCAATTAAAAGCTACTTTTGGGACCGGAGTTTTCATGGTCTTTAGCAGCATTGGTCTCCAATCAGAATAATAAAGATAAAAGACATTTGTTAATGCGGGACCACAGGAAAGTGCGCCCTGAGCATCTTACATTAGATGGATTTGTGCGCTATATAAAACTACACTATTATTATTATTATTATTAATTGGAGGTTGTCTTTAAGTGGAAAGTCTTTAATTAGAGGTAGATCTTTAATACTATTTTAATTACTGGTCTTACCATCTACTCTTAAATTTCTGGCAGGAAATTTGAGTTACGTAGTTAAACATTTAACTTTTACATATTGAAAGTTGTTAACCTCTGAGGTATTTTAATAAGGTATAGTCAAAACATTTATGTCAATTTTTAGATTTGTCGATTTTGCCGATTTCCTGATGGTTGGGTGGCAGTAAATCTGTAAAGTGAACAGTCCACCAGAATGCAGAACGCCTTTTCTGTGATCGGCTTGAATCCATAATTATTTCCTAGACGATTGTTTTAACATTAATCAAGTAGGCCCATATGAAAGGACATTTACGGTTAGGCCTATCAATCGAACTTAACAATTGACCGATCCGATCCGAAAGGGGCCAGCAATAACGAGCTTGTACGTCCATCGACCACACCTGTCCCTAGCAACAATATTTGAGGGACGGCGCTTAGCGTAAATTCCTAAATACATTTTTTGATTATTAAAATGTTTATAAAGTTTATGTTGAGATGTTTTTTTAAATATTTTGATTGTTACGATATAGGCCTAATGTATTTTGTTTACATGAGACCCTCGATTATTAGTTTCACTGCCGCTTTCGAAAATAAAGTTTCAATATACAGGAATTAATATAAAAATATAGGTGAGGCCTATGTTTTAAAAGCGATACTACAGTAGAGTATATAAACAGCGTCACAGGAAATTGTAATTTAAGGCGTTTCTGAGAGGAAGAAGGAAATTGTAAATTTTAAGGTGTTAAAAATAAAAATGAATACAGGAGGAGGTCACTGAGGTGGAAATAAAGAAAGTTTAGAACTAGTTTGACAAATTACACTAGGTATTCAAAATGTAAGGTAAGAGTTAAGTACTACAAGAGTGATACACAATTATTTTGCGGCGAGGAGTGAAATTAAGCAAACTGAGGTGGTGGTGCCAATGTGGGGGAAGGGGAGGGGTTAAGCCACGCGTCAGACAGGCAAAGAAGATGACCAGCTAGCCTCAACAGAAGTCGTCAGACAACCCTCCCCATCCACCCCCATCGGACACGGTGCACTGCAATCCGACCTTCTTAATCTGCGATATTTCTCAAGTGCTTTTTATTTAGATATTGATTAAATATAAACCCCCTCAAACCAAAAGAAACGAAAGCAAACCATTCTCCACCCAGAAGGGAATTCAACTGAAAAGTAAAAATAAGTAGAAATCACGCACAGAAATAATCGTATAATATGATCCGGGTAAGATTATTAAATGATTACTATGAAAAGACAAGATAATCGATTCGCCGGACAAAATTACGAATGTTTTTATCTAACTACTGTCGCAGACACGGTTTACTGCATAATAACCTATACGATTACTGTAGTCTGCACCTTGTAACCTCTTTACATAGAATTGATTTAGGCTAATTGGCGAAGTGTGGTACAGTTATTAATAATTCATCCAGGTTCTTTCTCAACGTGACCACAATACATTTGACATTTGTGTCAACCATAGAGGCATACAGTAGTGTCATACACAGTATTGCTATTCTCTGGTTTTCATACGTTTCTGTGGGGGATATACGCCGACAATCATTCCATGTTTTTGACAGAACTGCCTCAGCCTTAGGCCTATGCGTCAGCAAAAATGGAAATTACCAAATTTACTTTTATAGGCCTACATTGGTATCAACTAGATAATTACCAGTATTTATACGAATAAACGCCCAACTTGGGAAAAAAAATCTCCCCTTCAGAGCTCGCCTCATTTAGAATAAACGCCTCCCTCGAATAAACTCCCCGAGACGTTTATTTTTTCCTCTAATTAAACCCCCCCCCCCCTCAAATGATGTAGGCCTAAACAAAACTAATGGAAGCAACATCATTCTCAACACATTATATTAATATTCTACTCCAGTAGAATTACATTCTAACCTGGTTGGGATTGTCTTAAGGATCACGAAATAACACATTTTGACGGTAATTGTTGCAGTTCCACATAGGCCTACAGAGAAATTATTTGAGTATACATGTATACGTATCCATTTTACACTAAAAAATAAATAACCGCCCCTCAAAAACCATTCTTAACCATAACATCTTTTTTATTCGAATAAATACGGTAGGTCCCTATCTGCAAGCGAGGAATAAGAAAAAGTCGGATATTAGGATTCACAAAACAGACACACGAACATTATCATACATTGACAGGTTTACGCACTGATCAGTGCGCGAGAGTTAATCCCTACTTCTTCTGAAATAGTTAGCTGAGCTTCCGGGGTCTAATCGTTCAAAGGGGTCATTAATTGTCTGTAGAAGACTGGTCAACGTTAAGTGGATTCCCCTTAAAGATAACATCTGTCATAAAATCTGAAAATTCGGTAATTCAATAAAACACTGAATACACAGGCTAAGCTAGAACAAATTAATCATTCGCTAATTTACCAACATTGTACTACGAAGTGACTCGGCCTATAAGCTAATTTTAGGATCTATACAATAATACATAGACGGTATATTTATAGATCATAAATTTATTGATATTTGAAAGCTAGTAACTTACTTAATGCAAAGTAAGTATTAAAATATTAAATGTCTCGATCACGGTATCGACGGTTACGTGTGCGTGTGTGTTTTTAGAAATTTTACCAGGCTCGTGTTCATAATTTTAAATTAGCAGTATTGTGTGATCTACTGAACTTCGGACTACTTCAACAACGTAATACCAAAAAGAAAATTGGATTCTCCCCTCATTTTATGGGGAAATAAACGATTGAAAAATACTCTACAATGCAAAGATTGACTTAACTTAAGAAAACTTAATGGACCTATGTTTAATTTGGTATAATTATTGTCTATTTCATCAGTTGTCAAACACTAACCATCACAAATTTGTCACTTGAGTAATTTTGCAATACTTGAACACAATGGGTAACCCCCCCCCCCCCACTCTAGACCAAATCTATCCCAACTCAACACCGTTAGTCCCTTTAGGAAAAAGTAGTGACCTCGTGCGTCAATCCAAATTATGTTTTGCATGGAAGAGAATGCGCTGCAGAATGGCTACACGTCCAGTTAATACCAGATTAGTGGCCCCTAATCTCTGTCTGAGAACATTAGCTTATTAAATCATCATTTCGTCTGCTTTTTCGTACCCAGAGGGAAGGTACATAGATCTCGTTGTTGACGCCTACTTCATTAGAAATTACGAAAAGTAAATAATCTTAATCTTCCATTTTTAAAAACACTATACTTTCAGCGAAATTATAAGTTTTAATGAACTGAGCGATGAATTATGTAGGACAAATGAGGATTAACAGATTAAGATATAACTCACCGAAAATAACACAAATTAACTATGAGAGGTCATCTCCATGCCAACATTAGCAACACAAGGTATCGTCAATGACATTTCTTGGAAGAATTTTTTTTTATTGGAATTTCGTTTCGAAACCTGATAAGAACTTGTTTTGACATGCATGAATGATTTTAAACTCATGCTCCCTAATAATAACAATAATAACAACAATAACAATAATAATAATATAGTATTAATGTCACCTATCAATGACAATATTTAAAATAATTGTCCAAAACTACAAATCAATAAAGAAAGGCAATAATAATAACAAAAAGTCTATGTAAAAGAAAAACAAAAAAAATCAATATTAATCATTATTTTTCACCCAAAAGCTGATACTGACCTTCTATCACTTTGAATTATTTTATCTTGAAATCAATATTAATCAAATTATATTTATAATAATTTCCAACCCCAAACAAAAACAAAAACAAAAACAAAAAAAAAAAAAATCACAAAAAAAATTTAAATAACAGAAATTTTAATAGGCATATATGTTTGACATCAAAATATGAAAGAAAAATCTAAAAATATCAAAAATTAACACACCAAGTATAATTCTCAATAACTAGTTGACCAATCAGAGAGCACAATAAATTCATAACTTGGTCCAACTAATTGACCAATCAGAAAGCACAACAGATTTAAAACTTGGCCAAATAACCAGTGGCTGAGAAATATCCAACAGAACACCATACTAAGGAGGCAACGGATACTTTTTCACTACTGCTTCAAAATTCTGATTTACAGATGAAAAAACCTTTTCGCTAAGCCCCACTCCTTTGATATTGTTGTCAATGTCTCACAAAACGACAGTGTTAAAACAAACGCAAACACATGCTTTCATGGGACATGTGTGCATGTTAGCCAGCGCATATTCCTGGCCTCTTCTGATTGGTCAGTTGTTAAGTGTGATTGACACTCTTAAAAGATACGTTAACACCTAAACTTTCTTTTTCTATTTTCTGGGGTTTTTTTTTTTCTTGTTATACCCTTTATTCTGATTAGTTTTGAGTGCTCTCTGCATATACATACAGTTTACAAATGTCCACAATTTTTATTACATAACATTTACAACATTAATTTTCCTATCGTTTTACAAAAACATTTATAAATATCATCATTTAAATGAAAAAGCACAAGCCAAGTGTGCAATTACATAGAATTAGAAATTATTTTGAAGGGTAAATATTATTTATAAAAGAGTCTGAATGGGACTAATTTACTTATTGCTTAAGTAGTTACTAGAAAAATAATATTTGCATTTGCTAGAGAAGCTACTGAAATTATTGAACTACCATGATTAATGATACCAATACAAGCACCTGTTTAATGATATACAGTAGTATTTTGAATGACATATGGGGCTTGTCATGCCAAATCCAGAATCATTGACCAAAGCAAGAACATCGCCTTTTTAAAAAAAATTTATATACTCCACATTATAAGCTTTAAAATGTTATTTACTGGAATCGACTTATTATTGCCAAAGTTAAGAATGAAAGTATTACAGCTTCTCTCTACTAAAGTATACAATACAATACTGCCCCATTCTTATGCAAATTATTCATTTAGTGACAGTACGCTGGTTTTAGGATGGCAGGCCTCATGTTTTTGAAACCTTCTTCTACCTCTGACAAAATTCAAATAGTAAACAACATTTTTCAATGTCAACATACAATGCATTTGACATTGTTTTCTTAAGGTATATTTTAAGCATGATTTACAAATGTGATGAAACATTTCAAAACCATAATTATTTGAAACAAATGGCAGTTGTCAATGTTTATGACAATTACAATTTAATATTGAAGCATAATTTCCACGAAAAAGAGAAACTGTTACAAGATATTTTTTTAGTTCAAATGTTTGTTTAGCATTTATGACTTGTGACACAATTCCTTAGTTGTCAAAAACAAGATCAAATAATTTTTGTTTTGTAAGAGTTGGCAAAAACATGGAACAGAAATCGAGGGAGCGAGTCTTGAAAAAAAAAATAAAGGGGTTAAATTAGGGTCACTTAGGTGCTTTAATCTATATTAACAAGACAGCACTACATTAGTGTTATGAATCATGTATATAGACAAAAATTAATAAAAGTAAATTAATTTGGATTGTCATGCTAAAAACAATACATGTTTTGTATAAATAATTGAGTGTCCTTATGTTTGAATCTAAGTCAATATGTGGACTTTGCCAAATAACTATCTTTATTAACTATCTTCAAATCTTGGCTGTACATTAGAGTCTTGGAACAAGATAGACATAAATTCAAACTGTCAAAAACATACACAAGTATAGCCCCACACCATATATCATGAATACCCTATTAATCAAATGTAAATTTTGTAGGCCTCATTTAAGATCAAATAGTTTCAAAATGTTTCCTGTATACCACATCTATGTGATACCGTACATAAAACAAATCTTCCATCAACAATTGTAATTCCTTCATTCTAATAATTCATACAATAATAATATTTACTCCTAATTTTCAGAAACGGGATTGTTTTCTCTATATATTTCAAGGCTGTATTTCAGACATTAACATTTCTGTAATTTATGTTTTGTTAAAAGTAATTCATTTGAAGTAATTAACTGACATTTTTTTAATTAGCTTGAAACAGTAAAAAAAAGGCATAAGGAAAAAAAATATGAACAGATGATATGAACCTAGAATTTGGACTATGAAGAAAGCTAAACCATTTTACCATTATATTTGAATAGTTAAGCATAACTTATCAGAATGTTTCAGAATGCACAATATAAATGACTAAATTAGGTTGCATTTTTAGGTCCTTAAATGATCCATTTTGTGAGGTAATGTTGAGATAAAATTATGGGTCAAATTATATATAGATTCCTATCATGACATTTGAATTTTGAGACCAAGTAAGATAAGAAATGAGATCAGATGATAGTTTCAAGATATTAGTCCCTTTTTATGTTGTCAAATCAACAGATCACAACAATGAGGTCAAATTATTAGGTCACTGATGTCGAAACTATGAAATATAAGGTCATAGGTCAGGAATTTTGTTAGATACAACTTTACTAGGCAGGAACATCATAATATGTGTTTTAATTATGTTATTAACAATTTATACTTCTTTAACAAAGCACAGGCCTGATAGAGACATTTTTACATGAAAATACAAAATTGTAAACATTCAGTACAGGGGTGAATTTTTTTCTCTTTCTATGAAAATATATCATTAATGAAAACCTAAGGAATGAAGCTGCTTAAGTTACTTTAGCACTATGACCCAGTCATCTTGTAGCCGCAGGTCAGGCTTGCGTATAACTACAGAATTTGTGAATTGGTCAAAGTTAAATTCAACATTTTTCATTGGAGTATCTGAAAATAAAATAGAACGATTGTTAATTAGGTTTTGTAAATAAAATATGCGTACATGTTTTAGAGGACAAAAACAACTACACAACTTAAACTATGTACCTGCTTACTTTCACAAAAAAAAAATCCAGTGCTAACGACTTGCAAACAACCTCCTTGATAATTTACCCTGGAAAGTCTTATTTGAACAGAGTGACTCAGTTAAATCTTAATGAATGCATGCAACTACTATACACACTGCTGAAATTCTCCCGTACGGGCAAAATCCTACAATCTGTTGTTCAGCCATTTTAGTATTTGAGTCTTTGGTAGAGTACTGTTACACCAAATTAAAGTCAGTATTTGTCTTGATAAAACTTAAGTTAATGCAAACACAACTTGATACAATGCATTATGGGTAATTTAGTTATTTGTACTAATGACGTAACAATGCTTTATGTATGGCATTGTAGGTAATGTATTCAATTCAATTTATTCAATTTATTCCGTTCATATAAATGGAAAATATATTGAGTACATTTCATTTACAATTATAAATTTTAAAATACATTAAAATTACAGAATAAGACATTAAAATACAACACCAGATTCAACACCAGATTCACAAACAATACTAATGCTCTGTGGGATAAAAAGTGAAAAAAACAATAATACAGTAAAAAAGCCACCAGGGTCCAATTCCATAAAATACCAAACACCATAAAATAGCATAAAAAATACATCAAAAGTTCCTAAAAATATTTAATAAAAATTTCTATACTGTACTGTGACTACTTTCCAAAAAATCTGATGAAATTTACATAAATATAAAAAAAATGTACTTAATTGTGTTAATGAATGACTGATTTATGCAATGCAATGTGGGTAATGCATTTACATATTTTAGGGACCACAGTGGAAATAAGTTGATTTTTGTACTTTTCTGTGTTTTTATCCTTGAATGTCTTTACTATTGATTACTTTCAAAATGAATAAATAAAAAATAAATAAAAGAAAACTTATGCTAATGGCATAACAGCTTTAGTTCTTTCTCTATGGTAATACATTGTAGGTTATTTGGTTGTGCTAATTGACATGATCTATTTCATACAATGCATTATGTAGGTAATGTACTTACTTGTGGTAGGTAATGTACTTACTTGCACTAATGACATAAACTGCTTTATGTAATGCATTGTGGGTAATGCACTTAATTGTGCTAATGACATGTACTGATCAATGCAGTGTTGGTAATGTACTTACTTGGGCTAATGGCATGAATTGTTGTAGGTGCTTCAAAAATACCAATCACGATTATTCTCTCCACTGTAGATTCTGTTGCATAGTTACCATTGTTGTCTATTTTCCTGTTAACAATGAAAAATTATGGTCAAAATGAAAATATCAGAATCAATTCATGTACAATGAACACAAGCTTTATAAGTTCATCCCTTCTCATACCCTTGAGGGAGCCCCCTTCATCTAATTAACATATCTGGGGTTATTGGTGGGGTCTTTTCTACCAATAACCACCTAACTACAGCAGATATGTTAATTAGTTGAAGGGGGCTACCTCAAGGTTATGAGAAGGGATGAATTTATAAAGCATGTGTGGAATCTGAAGCAAACAAAATTGGGCTTCACCTACACACTAAGAAAACTGAATTCATGAGCTTCAATCAACTGCTACCTATCAATCAAATCAGGGCAAAAAATGGGGCACAAATAATGGAAGTTGAAAATTTTAAATATCTTGGGGCATGGATTGGAAACACAGAAAATGATATGCCAGTGAGGAAAGCACTAGCTTGGAGTGCCTGTCATAAACTAAGATCAACATGGACCTCCAAGTTGTCACGGAAGATCAAAGTACGCTTTTTCCTTGCCACTGTGGAGTCAATACTGCTCTATGGATCAGCCACATGGACCCCTGACTAAGAAACTAACTAAACAACTAAATAGAGCATATACTAGAATGCTACGCATGGCCGTAAATGTTTCTTGGATGGCTCATCTAACAAACGAGCAACTGTATCAAAACATCCCTCTCGTCTCTGAAAAAGTGAGGCAAAATAAGAATGCAACTTGCTGGTCAGTGTGTGTGTCACAGTGAGGAAGTCGCTTGCAACCTAGTGCTATGGGAACCAGTGGCGGCTCTAGGATATATTTTCTGGGGGGGGGGGCTAAGTTGTCTGACAGGGGGACTTGAGCTCGTAGGCTCGAGCTGGGAGAAGGGGTTGAGAGGGGTTCCCCTCCCAAATGAGATTTTTTACAAGAATATCAACCTCTAAATGGCCGAAAATGGCACTCTCAGACTGTGACAAACATGTGTTGGCTTAGTGTGGGCCTATTTTTATATGTTTTTTGGTCTGACTGTCCAACAAGCTCTGTCCGGCAGGGGGTGGGGGGCCTTGACCTGTCCGGTGGAGCGCTTAAGCTCCCCCTGCCACCCCGCTGGCGCCGCCACTGATGGGAACCTCTGGATGGATATAAGAATAGAGGTAGAAAGAAAACTACTTTCACAGACATACTTAGGCAAGACACAGGGATGAAAAATGTTAAAGAGCTTCAAAATTGTATGATGGATGGAAACATCTGGAGTGAGCATGTGCAGGCATCAGTGCGACCTGGCGGTCGGCGAAGGTAAGGTAAGGTTTTTCCACGGGACCAACGCTTATTTATTACTTTCTGCTGGCCTCCCCACTTTGTTTTCCCCATACTGGTCAATAAAACTGTTAAATTGTATGTTTCATGTTTGCATGAAGTGAATTAAAGTAAAGTTGAAAGATGAAGTTGAATATACAGTATTTCATGTGCAATGCCTTCAACATTGATGTATGAGACATAACAGAGCACCTGTAATGTGCAAATTATGATTATGAAGGTTAAACTATTAAAATACATCATGCTATAAAAAATGTGGAATGGGAAATGTATTAATAAATTTGTATGTGGTGTACATTCTTAACAAAGTATAGGATATGGAATATTGTGAGGCTAAAAACTTAAAACAGGACCCTGCCTCGTATCACACTCATCCAGCCACTGTTCCTCACTCTATACTAGCCCAAAATCAGTTGCTCATCCAAAACTGGTCTATGTCACCCTACACTGACCCCTAATCCATCACTCACCAAGCACTGGTTCTAGCCACCCTTAACTGGCCCCAAATCATTAATTTACCCTGTACTGGCCCCAGATTATACCTGCACTAGTCCCAGGTTATACCCTGCACTAGTCCCAGGTTATACCCTGCACTAGTCCAAGGTTATACCCTGTCCTAGCCCCAGATTACCCTACACTAGCCCCTAATCACTAAACACACACTGCACTCTGGTTAACACCTGTGCCCAAATTGGGAATTTACTCTACACATGCCGCAACTCAAGTCAACAACTCTTTCACCCACCCTTAAATTGCTTCAATGTCACACAGAATTATTTTGCATTTCCAGGGTTGTTTTTTTGTATTTTAAGGTACAATAATATCAAAGAATCCAGTCACTGACTAATGTACCTAATCCACAAATAATTAAGACGAAACATACTTTCACTCCATTTGGTTTAAATTTGATTACGAAAAAATAAAGTACCAGTAAAATCAAAAAGGTTACAATTTGAAGAGAGGAATACGATGATATTCCCATAAATTTTCAGCATGACAGTAACATATCTAGGGGAGGAGGAGAGAGAATAAAACAATTTTCCCAGGGTTTCCTAAAAATTTGCTGAGCAAAAGAAGTACACTCAAGTATTTAAAAATTGTTCTTATATCACCTCATTCTTCAAGCTAATTTTCCCTACATTACATTTGTTCCCCCTCCCCCATTATCCTTGATACACTACTGTTGCATGCCACTAACACAAAATGTAAAAGATCATCAAATATATCCATAAAATCTAAATCAAAAATTGTATAATTAAGGCCAATTAGAAGAATATTTATAATTGAGGTTGTTTCCTAGATAAATATTCATGATAAGAGTTTACAATACTTTAATATCCTATAGTAGTTTGTCGTTTAACACCTTTACGACCAAGAAGTGTTGTTTCTATCTCTACCCAAGTCACTCTCCCATAAATTTTTCCTAACTTATTCATCCTTAACTTCAACCTCAATTTCACACACAATTATTTTGAATTCCAAGGTTGTCTGTACTCCGGAACGTACCTGAGCTACAATTAATAATAGCCAAACATACTTTTACTCCATTTGGTAAAAATTTGATTATGAAACATAATGTAATATAAAAAGGAGCTACAGGTTAAAAAATATATAAGATGTTTTATAAATGCTTTGCATACCACAGACACGTGTGAAATTTGATCATCGACAACATTCATGAATGAATCAAAAATAATTATATAATTAAGGGCAATTAGAATAGAATATATAACTAAATAGATATCCAAAATTAGAGATTACCAAATTGTCATAAGTAAAAATATTTTTTTAATGAATATATATATAAAATAAATAAATAAAAAACATAATAAATTGAATAAGTTTAATTAAAGAGTTTTAATACCATTAGTTATTTGCATAAAGTGGGTTAACATTTGCGTTCTTCCAGTACTGTGGTATGAATCCTAAGGAGTACTGTAGGTACCTAAATAGTAGATATAATGGCAAGTCAAATTGAAGGTGTTTTAAGTATGTTTTAATAAGGTTCCTATAACTTCATTCCTGGACATTTAATTAAAAGGCTGAAATACTTTATTACAATAGCGTGTCAGACTTTTATTCAAAGTGTTTTATACTTAGTTGCCATTTACAATCTATTACCTTATAAAATTTTGAGTGTTTAACAGAAAGGCAAGCCTGTTCATACCGTGTTCACAGTAACAAATTGTTATACAAATGATTTACGACAAGTTGCAGAGAGAGAAATTATCAAAATCAGCTGAAAATCGTTCTCCGGGTCAGTTTTTAATCTATCATTGTTCACAATTAATTTACTGAAAGTCGTCGCCATGTGCCCAGATTAGGTGGCTACTGTGGTTTTTATTATCTCCTATTAAATATAACATTTTGGCCCCTGGTTGTAAGGTTTCTGGTATTGGTATATGGTCTCTGGGGACCTCCAGTATTATATATAAATATACACATCCCCTTGTTAAAGCAATGGCAGATCTGTGTACAAATGCTGTCCAATTGTTTTCTTTCTTTTCTGTTGTATACATTTGGATGTTTCATGCTTATTATTTTGTTTAATAATATCTGTCATCGATCGATAGTTTTGGTCGCCTGTGCCGATGGTTGATATGACAACGTTCTATGCCAAATCCTGAAATGCATTTTACCACTAAGTGGTACTTCCTTACCAAGTCCATTCAACATCTGGTAATGAAACTTCAATTTTATAGCAATTTGGATGATATTGATTTAGAAAAGTCACTGTACTTTACGTTCGTTAACTTTTGTTAGTCAAAACTTTTGTCTAAGGATTAATGTTTGTATACACAACAATGCTAAACAAGTTGAACAAGGCATGGAAATCAAGACAGTCAAATATATTTATATCCATGAGAAAAAAAAACAGCAAACAATATCAAAATTTCCACAAAGAAAGAGTAAAAACCTAATAATACGATATTCATGTGTGTTTACGTGAAAAAAAGAACAAAAAAATAAGTGAATTCTTTAAATTGCACTACATAGATTGTTGCATTTTTTTGATAGGGTATTCTTCAATTTCATGTTGACAAATGTAATACATTATTACAGGTGAGAGTTTGATCAAACCCCTTCTCCAAAGAATGCACAGTACCTCCTTTAGCTTTCAGAAATTATTTCCCTTTAGAAAAACACTCGGAAAAATACATCTTTTATGTATTAGTTCAGATAGATATTGTCAATCACAATAGGCCTATAATTCGCTCCCAGGTAAATGTGTATAACAGAGAGAAATCAAAACATTACCTGGGAAAAATTTATTGTATTTGTGATGCGAGTCTGTCATTGGAAATACGTAGTTGATACGCGCCGCCGCGTTTGTATTAGTCATTGAGTCATTTTATTGTGGGTTCACATTAAAACAGAGCAAAATTAATTGATTGTGAAATGGCAGTAAGCCATAAGTTGACCAACTAGGAACTACATGAATGTAAATCAAGTGCAGTAGTAATTTAGTGGCCAAATATTTTGACTCAGACTTTGGCCCCTTCAGAGAGATCAAGTGTCAAATAATCAGACGATAGAAAGCAAATTTATTTATATTTGGATCACAAGCAAAGACAAATTATTATTTTACAGGAAAAATATGATTACATTTAAAACAAGGTACACTTGTTGTCTCTGAATTTATTGTTTTAAAGATTTTATAATCTTTCAGAGAAAAACATAACCTAATATGTTTACAGGAAAT